TCGAAAGGCATTTTGTCACGTGACTTTTGCCCATGCTACCGAAAACTACCCATCACAATATCACGGCGTTGAGACGCCGTGAAATAAACTGTTGTCTGTTACCCGCGGTATATATTCTGTACATACTTAATTGTCCGTAACACCCACAGTAGAATTATTGAGTGAGACTAAAAAAAGGATTGGAGCACCACACTAAATACTGTATTCCGGTATATACCGGACAAGGCGCTTGAATGATAAAATGCTAAAATCTTGCCTTTTTACCCAACAGAATGAATTTTAACAGGTCTAATTCATCTTATCACACCGATTTATGTATGATAATGAATGAAAAATAAAAAAATAGGCGAAAAAAATGATATTTGTCTATTTTGTGATCATGATTTCTGCAAGCGCCTAGAGGTACTGCTCCAATCCTGTATTGAGTTAAATCTGTATATATTCTGTACATACTATTGTCCGTTACCCACTGTATAATTATTCTGTACATACTATAGTCCATTACCCACAGTATATATTCTGTACATAGCATTGTCAGTTACCTACTGTATATATTATGTACAATAATTACTATCGTCCATTACCCACAGTATATGTACCATATATACTATCGTATGTTAGTTCCATGGTTCCCTATTGTATTGGTACGCGTTTAACTTTTGAGGCATGGAGGAGCACGTGACCTGTTTTCGGTACATGGAGGAGCATGTGATCTGTAAACCGTACATGATTGGTTTACCTTTTCGTAAAACCTAGCTAAATACCGTGTGCCGGTACGTTACGGATTTACCTCTAGGGAATTAGTCCGAATTTCACATAATTAAGAGTAAAAACTATTAAGTGACATTTCTAATTTTCTATAATTATTTTACCGTTTAAGGTGGAAAAACTTGAATGATGTGTTTGAAATCAATGTTTATCAATGTTTCTTTAACATCTATCTCAAGTTTTACAAACAATAAATTGAAAATCTACAAAATTAAAATTTTCGTAGTGGCATCTGCCATAATAAATAGAGATATTTTGTAAACTTGTGTGTTTACTTAATTTTTTTTGCTCGGAATTATTCATAAAATGGTAGGCCTATTTAATCATTTTCTTAAAAAGAAATAATTGTTTTATGTTCGACCTTCTCCAGTCTTTGGTCGCCAGTTTCCAAAGACCTTCTTTGATCCTTTGATCGATTAATTTGTCAACTATATTCCTGATACAAACGTTTATTTATCCCCCCAAACAATGTTGAAAATAGTGAAATGAAATATCTTTATATCATTAAAAATGTTCCCCGCAGGAAACCATTTTACTTGTATATATTCTGTACATACTATCAGCCATTAACAACAGTATAATAATATTCTGTACATAAAATGGTCCATTTCAAGTTCAATTCCTCATACAACCCCAAAGCGAAAGCCCTGCCAGCGACCCTCGGCTACAGATTTACAATGACAGGTGGCTTGTTTTAATTTCTCAATTTTAAGTTTTATTTCAAAAAAAATAATTTTCCCTAAAGTTCTGATTGATTAATATTTCACATATTGTATCAGAATAGAGGCATTATCTTGGTCATAAATATTGCTGAGTCTAAAATTAATTTAGTCTTTGATGATAATCTCAAGAGGTGTCAATATATTATAGATCATGTACAGATGTTTTATATGTTTGATAAGATACAAAAAACATGTGTATGAATGTTTATTATAAATGTTTCACAGTCTATGAAGTATGAGAAATGAGCAAAAAGAGGTAAGTTTGCTTGTGGACATTTTGGCAAGACATAATTTCTTTAAAGGCCCATTATGCCCCAGAAATGCTTTTATTTTTATTTCTCAAAAACTGTCTAGATTTGGTGCTGTTTTATCATAAGTTTCCAAAAAGTTGTCCAATTACCTGATTCATTATGTTGCCTCTGTTGCTGTCTGGGAATTAGTACAATTACTGTATTTTGTATGGAAGTCAAAATACTTTGTGTATATTTTGCTACTTTTACTACAAATAGTTTCATACTCAGTGCTACTACTTTATTTAGGACTATAAAGCATCTAAAATGATTAAAATCTTTGTTATAATATTAATGGTAGACATTTCTTAAGGTGGAAAGTATAAAAGTATCATTTCACAATATTGACCTAAGACATTTATTTAGATATTCTGTGACCATATTGGACCATTGCACATGTTTGCATTGTATTTGCAATGTTGTTATGATCAGCAAGTATTGTGTCAGTTAAGCCATGACATATGTTACCAATAATCTCAAACAACATTCTTAATTGATTAATAAATGGTTTTCTTTGGGTATATAAATGACATATGACTTGATGATTTTTTTCCGTTTAAACTTTTAAATCTGTAGTGTTAACGGTGGTAGGTTGAGCATAACTTGAAAACTAGTGGTTGGAATTCAATACAACCATACAATGGTCAAGCAATTTAAGAGAAAGTCCAATGCACAAGATCCATAACTCCATCATGATTAACTACAGAGTTATTGCCCTTTGTTACTTTTCCTTGTCCGGAGCATAACTTAATCAAAGGGCTGCAAGCTCTGTGATATTTTCTGATCTTTGCAATCGAAATCGTACTGTATATCTGTATGTATTTTCCTGAATAAGTTTATTTTTCTGTACTATAATTTATTTTGCAAGGCACCAAGTTTGATACATACGGAATTTTGCATAATTACAGTAGAGTTGCATCAAAAAATCATTTACATTCATTTTTTATGACAGCCACACTTAATCCTTGCATATCATGGCTATAACTTCCTTTACAATGACACTTAAAAAAGAATTTAAAAAAAAGTTGCCTCGACTGGGATTTGAACTCCAGACCTCTCACACACTACACAAGCGCGTTACCCCTGCACCACGGAGAAATTATATCAACGATGCCTGAATAAAATCTAGTCCTTCTAAATTTACAACTTCCATTGCATTTCGGGTTTGTAATCCTTACTAATTTCGAGGTATTTTGTTCAGGATAAACCTGTTGTTTAAAATTGAATTAAATAATTTAGCGCAAATCTTCTCGCCGAAACAGTCAGACATATCTATATATTCCACTTCTCGGCAGTGACAGATTTATTTGTGTAGTTTCGGTAATGGACATCGCTAAAAATAGCATTTTCATTGATTAAAATCACATTCATCCGCGTAATTTGTGATTGTGCATTTATTGACAATTCTATGAGACAACGCTACTTTTAAACTTTGAATGCGTTGTAATTTGTTGGATACTTGTAACAAAATAAAAATATTTCTTTCTTTTAAATTGCTAGTTTTAAGCTGTTTTGTGAACTACTTGTTGTTAGGTTTGTCGTGAAATTCTGTGACGGAGATTGAATGTCAGCTTTGTATTTTCTGACCGAAGGTCAGTAAATACAGTAAAAACTACTAGTTTGAATTCAAGACAACTTCATACAATGGTCAAACACAATAAGAGGAAGTGCAGTGCACAAGAACCATAACTTCATTTTGACTAATTACAGAGTTATTGCCCTTTGTTACTTTTCGTTGTCCAGAGCATAACTTAAAAACTACTAGTTTGAATTAAAGCCAACTTCATACAATGGTCAAGCCCAATAAGAGGAAGTGCAGCACACAAGAACCATAACTCTATCTAAAGTAATTAAAAAGTTATTGCCCTTCATTAATTTTTCTTGCCTAGTGCATAACTTGAAAATTTATGGTTGAAATTCAATGCAACTTCATACAACAGTCAAGTGCAATAAATTGAAGTGCAGTGCTCAAGAACCATAACTCTTTTTGGACTAATTACATAGTTATTGCCCTTTGTTGCTTTTTTGTCCAGTGCATAACTTTAAAACTAATGGTTGGAATTCAATGCCACTTCATACAATGGTCAAGCGCAGTGAGATGAAGTGCAATGCATAAGGACCATAACTCTACATAGTTATTGCCCTTTCTTACTTTTTCTTGTCAAGTGCATGACTTGAAAACTAGTAGTTGGAATTCAATACAACTTCATACAATGTTCAAAAGCAATGAGAGGAAGTGCAGTGTACAATAACCATAACTCCATTTGTATTTGTAGAGTTATTGCCCTTTGTTCCTTTTCCTTGTCTGGTGCATAACTTAAAAACTAATGTTTGGAATTCAATGCAACTTCATACAATGGTCAAGCACAATGAGAGGAAGTGCAGTGCTCAAGAACTGTAACTCTATTTGGACTTATTACAGAGTAATTCAATAAAATTTCATCATGAAAGGAAATGCAACATACAAGAACCACTGTAACTATCTGTAATTGCCCACAACCATAACTTTATTTCAAATCTTTTTCAAGGTATTCTATTACTAGTAAATTTCTCATTTCCGAAACAGATATTAACCTACATTTTCCCCATTGAACATAGAAGAACCGAAAGTGTGTGTTATTATGCAATAAAATCACAGTTTGACATTCTATATTTAGACATGTGACATAATCATTATACAAGTGACATAACCACTAAAATTGTGACGCACTGAAAATACGTACGTACACAAATAAGACACAATATAGGTTAATATCAGGTACGGCAGCATTTATTTGTTGATGTCGTGTTACAATCAAAATAATATATCCAAAACAGTGAATTTATTGTTTGATAACATCATTTTTGTCATGCGGATGCACATCATTATATAATTCCTCTTATCCGAACTCCAAACAGTGATGTTATTGAGTGATAAAATCACTGTTTTTGATATATTATTTCTTAAGTCAGTACATTACTTTAAAATATATCCTTAAAAATGAGTAATGATTTTGTCAAGACTGAAAAATTGACAAGTTCGTTGATGATGTTTAATATGGAAGGATACGTTAATAAAAAGAACTTGTTTATATATATAATATACATTTGTGTATAATTATAAAATTTGTTGACTTATGTAAGGAAAACATTATTCAACACACCTGTACAAATATGTTGTATCAAATCCTAAGCATAATTATTATGTTCTGTGCATATATTTCAGTCTTTATATTTTCAGGTAGTTTCCTAAACATAATAGCAACAAATGACCCTCTCCTGGTATATAGGAATGTTAAATGTCAACAGTTCAACTCTTTTTGAGCTGCTACATGGTTTTTCAACATCTGTTGCATAATGTACAGAAATTGTTGGCATGAATGTGAACTTGGTAACATCAAACATATGAAAGATTTTAAGGTAAAGAAATTATTTTTTTGATAACGGCACATATATTCTTGTAATTGTGGACCATATGGCACTTTCCATGGAATAATGTAACATAAAAGTGTCACATTTATGGTTTCATTATTTAACACCATGCCCTGGGAATGTCACAAATTTCTAAAATTTACACTTTTGATAGTTGAATTCTACCATGAATGATGCATTGCACTTAAAGAGGTGTGTGAATGGTTGTAAAACTTACCATACAAAGCACTGAATACATTTTAAACCATCTTATTAAAATGGTAGAAAATGTTAAATACACAAACAGGCTCTTTATAACATGCAAAATTGTCAATCTGATGATCTTTAGGTTTACTCACTTTTAAATTGTTTATTTATACTTTATTTGAATGATACATTTCAAATTGTTTTTACAAAGAAAAACAGCTAATCACGAGACTGATGTGGTTTCTAGAAATCTTGTAATATTGGTTTCACAGTTCAACATTGAACTTTTATCATTCTGTTAAAATGTACCAACTGAGGAAATTGACAAGGTATTTCCAGGGTTTTGTTATATCAATACTGACCCATGTTTTACAATTGTAAAGATCAGCTTCTCCAAATAAACGGCAATAATGCATAGATCCCTGACCTGTATTATTCTAATTATCAGATTAGTGGATAACAATAAGATTATTTCACAACAACATATTTTGTTAACAAAAGAGCACATGTCAAATCTATTGTTACTCAAGTATTCAAATATTAAGGACTCGGAGTAGAGGTCTATCAATAAACACAGTAGACATGAACTGGTTATTTATAATACATGAATATGACAAAACACTAACTCGTAACTTGATTAGAACTGGTGCAGTTGTGCAGTGGAAACAATACAAAAGTAATATTGACCTTCTCCCAACTTTAAATATCTAAACAACCGGTTCTGATAATATGAGACTTTAAAAATAGCACTTTCATTCAATGGTACTTTGCTCCTCGCAGGTGCTTTAAATGCATTGTTTAGTCTTGAAGTAGAAAGTGTCCATATGACTTCTATTGTGTCGGTGCAACAATTATTATCAAACCATAAGAAAAAAATTGTAAACCAATATCATTAAATATATGAAATATCACATAAGTATAAATTTTAAATCGCTATGATGATTTGTTTTCATTTAATGGAAGTATTATGATGAACTTGATAACATAAACAGGAGCCTCACAATTTGATAATGAATTAAACAGAAGAAGGGAATAAATACTTGATAAAACTGTATATTGTAAATTCAGAAGTCATAAGTTTATTTACAGATCTACAGCTTTAAATTTAACAGGGGCATAGTAATCTGTTAATAAAATTTACTAGAGAAATAGAAAATAAACTCATTGTAGATCAATTATACGGGTATAAAACTGTATTAACAGGTTACATATTGTCAGTGTCCAATTGTCAGACAGTATAGGGGTGCTTTATTGGCCTATAGGGGACAGTCTTGTCACAATTAATTGTCAATCATGCATCAAAATTGACAATTAAATCAGCACCTTAATTGATTTAGTCATGTTGTCTTTCTCTCACAATTGATGGGTATAGTGTATTCATTTCCACAGTTGCTATAATATAGGATAAAGCAGAGATAATGTTATTAAGCTTTGTACTGGCCTACTTAAAAACCGGAATCCAAATATTTGACTTTCCATGAAATAAGTTTTATATTTTCACGAAATTAGTTCAAAGTGCTTGCTGTAAATCACGTAAACCTAACATATTGAACCGGATATTTAAGAATTGGGGTTTATTTCTGGTCATTTTTGACTTTATATGTTCCGAAGTTTTACATAATCATTTCATCCAGGACTTTTATAGAATTTAATTGTAAACTGAACTGAATATTGGATAGTGTGGTTAACATTTCTTGTTTTATCAAAAGAGGATGTCTATAAGATTGAAGTGTTTTTATAATCTGGATATTTAGCATACTTTCAATTTACCGGTACTGTGTAAATAAGGAAGAACATTTCTATATCACAGTTAGGTGAGTGAGATAATATATTATTTTTTAATGCAGTTTGTAATATTTTGTTATTCAACTCTTTGAATACATGACACAGTGATTAGATACTTTAAGCTCTAAGCTAGCTGACTTGGTGTCTAGACTAGAGTCAGGTCAGCAGTGTACTGTAACAGTGCATTAATCCACTCAGTCTTTTGGCTCCTTCATTTTTAAGTATTTTGGTATAATTGAAGACTCTTAAACAAGCAATGTACTATTTCAAAATCAAAGCAGCCAATAAGCAGTCAGTTGTTTATGCAGAAATTGATAATTACTTGTTAAATTTTATCCAGGAAAGTCAATAAGGTCAGGACATAACCAAAAATGTGATATTGGTGTGAAGACCAAACAGAAAATCTAAACAAGTGAAATGGCCTGCCCCTATATGATATGTATACTATTACCAATTTGTAGACTTGTAATGAAAAATATTTGTGAATTCCCTGTGCTCTGTCACAGATTTTATTCCAGGGCTGTTCTAAACATTCATTTGTACTGCAGAAAGTTATCATTACAAGATCGTTATTGAATTGTTGTTGATGTTGGTGTTGTTGTTGTTTTTCAATTAACCATTTAGAGATACGATTCTTAAACTTCTTTGTATATTAGAATAATGATTATATTTTTTTATCTGGACATTAACAACATTGTGGAGGCTGTAGGAACGTTCCTCTGAGAGATACTGATGGATAAGGAGACAATTCCTCCCTGTATAAGCCTTCATCTTTTATGCCCAGTCATGGTTGTTATTTGTGCACAATGAATTAACCTCCAGAGATTTAGAAACAATATAGGGATCCTCTAGTGATTGAGATTTTCATCAGAGTTATTGCTATAACACCAGAATTAGAAACATAACCATCAATCTACCAGAGATTTTGACATTGGATAGATTTTGGTGCCTAAAATTAATTCATGAATCATGTCTGTACATTCACTAATAATAATATAATGCATGCATTTTTGTGATCAATCATTAATCAACTAAATAATATGTAGACACTCTATGAAAAGTTTAATTGTTTTCTACATTTAAACATAAGATTTGATTTGTTTTAGTATGATAATTTCAACTTGGCGCTCAAGCATAAGTCTATATATTATAGAAGAAATACTTCTTTCATGAAATTGACATATCGGCAACACAGCATAATTATGGTTTGTACATCAGTATTGGGTCACTTTTGAATTTTAAATGACTTAACATTAATCTCTAAGCAGTGTTTTACAGTATTTAAGTTTATTTATTTAATTCAAAGTAACATTATTTATCTAGGGAAGAAATACCTCACAAACTTGAATTGATTGAATGGTCTGGAGGAAAAGTTGAAGAGCTATTGAGAAAATGTTTCTGTGTAGTTGGGGGTGTGTGGGGGGAGGAGTTGCTGTGAAGTTGCATTAACCCTTACCAAGCTGGAACCAAAATTAATAAGCCTTTACCAAATGTATATAGCATGGCCAGCCTGCAGTATCAATGCAGTCAGGCCAGGTTCTATTACTGTTGACTGACCAAGATTTTCATCTTGATATCCTCATAAGATATTAGTGATAAAAGACATAATTGATAAAAAACATAATTGATAAAAGACATAATTGATAAAAGACATAATTGATAAAAGACATTAATAATGATATAAGACATAATTGATAAAAGACATGATTGATAAAAGACATAATTGATAACAGACTTAATTGATAAAAGACATAATTGATAACAGACATAATTGATATAAGACATAATAAAGGACATAATTGATAAATGACATAATTGATAAAAGACATAATTGATAAAAGACAGTCCAAAATGGCAGCTTGATCAGTCCATATTTTGAATTTTGGCAGGTTATGGGTTTAAACATGTTATTATTCATATATTATTATATTTAGTAACATATAATACAATGTACATGTATTAATAACCAAAAGTTAAAGCTTATTGGTCATTAAAGTTATTTTAATTGCACTGTACTTAATACAGAAATATATTGACAGGATTTTTTATTTACACGTGTTTATGCGGTTAAATGTGACACAACAAATATTTTGAATGTCAGTTGTAGAAAAAAAACACTTATCAGTCCACTTCAGGATAAGATAGCTTAGAGAAGAAAAGTGCACAAAAAATTGCGGGGATATGTTTCATTAAAGTATGTGATTACATACCATCTAGGATAAAGTGTTAGTTAACTCTTACCATATGTAATATGTCCATCATTCAGTCTCATTAGGAACATTTTCAAAATATTTTCTACCAAATGTGCGGTCCACTGTTCATGGTCTGCACTGTTGTTGCAATTATTGAGTTAATGTAGAATCAGTTGCCATCAGCAGTTTTATGAGGTAAAAACTGTGAGTCTTAGTTTATATCATATCAGTTGTCAGTGTCAACTTAATTTACAACATTTGATTCTTTGATGAAAAATTGAATTACTAATTGCCACCGGTAAATAATGATAGTTATTTGATTTATTTATAAAAATATTTAAAATTTTGAAAAGGACTGTTTTCAAGGGTTTGCATTAATCGGACCAGTTGTTTTACCCTTGGCGTTCTTGAAGTGCTTTATTAGGTGTCCAGTGGTCACAGGGTTTAAGTCAATCCCCTTTATTAAAACTCCAACTCAAATTACTAAGAATTCTTTTAAATGAGGCTTTAAATTTAAGCTAATGAAGGTCCCAAGTTTTACAATTGTAATAGTACTTTACTTAGTGTCAACAAGTTGAAAGTTTTCATGGAACCAAACTAACCCCACTTTCCCTCAACTCCCATCCTAGAAGATGTTAAGCACAAATGAGCCGCGTCATGACAAAACCAACATAATGGGTTTGCAACCAGCATGGATCCAGACCAGCCTGCGCTTCCTCGCAGTCTGATCAGGATCCATGCTGTTCGCTTACCAACTCTATTACAAGTAGTGAAACTGATAGGGAACAGCATGGATCCTGATCAGACTGCGCGGATGTGCAGGCTGGTCTGGATCCATGCTGGTCGCAAACCCATTATGTTGGTTTTGTCATGACGCGGCTCAAATGTATATCTTCATGAATTAGGTTTCATTTAAACAATATCTTATTTATAAATTAAAAAAACAAAAAACTTTTGACAGTTTAAAGAACAGTGTGGATGGGAAGCTCGAACTCATTTCAAAACACCTAAGCTCTTATATTACAGTTTACATTATATAGGTTTGGCAATTTGTAACTGACATGTTACCCTGAATGATTAATACTCTTCAACAGATGAACTGGGACAGATGCAATCTTGTGTTATCTGTATTATTCATATATAAACAGATAGATGTTTTTGGTGTTTTTTGTTGTTTTTCCCATTTTATTATGAATTATATAAACAAATTCACTATTGACGTTTATTTAAGTATACTATGCAATATATTATTATACATGTTTACAAACAAAACCCTCCTTATATCAAAATAACACTTGAAATGACAGAATTCTGTAATACTATGTTAATAAAAAAACACAATACTGATTAAGAAGTTTACTATAATTTTCATTGTTTGAAGAATTGTTGTACTTGATTGTTTTTTTGGTTTTTTTGTTTCCATATTAACCAACTAAGTGCTGTGTTACATCATCATATAGGAAGTGATTTGTTAAGAGGTATAATTATATTCCAGGAATGATAAAGTGGAATATGACTGCTGGTATAATTGTTGTTTAAGTGATTACCTACTTCCACATCAACAGCTTTCCTTCTTCATTAGAATGAAACATTCCTGACTAAATGGTGAGTAAATAACTTTAAAATTATGATATAGAAATATGTTATGATTTGTTGTTTTTTCTACAGTCATATTATTCAATAAAATTTGATTGATCTTGGACACTGAGTCTTAAATCAGATCATTTAAATCGTCTCTAACTGCAATAAGAGCATCAATTCAATTCAATTCAATATTTATTTGGCATAAACATATACAATGTTCATCGCCAATACACAACTGTTACATAATGGCGGATATAATGTACAATTGAGAAAAGTATGTTATTATAGAGTTACAGTTGTAGATAATGCATGCATTTAATAATTGATTAGGCAGTAAATGGCATTAGTCATATATAATTCTTTTAAATCATTTTGCAATATCAACACAATGCAGTAATCAGATTTAAATGATCAAGGGTTTGCTCTGAGTCTCAATTCTTTGATCAAAGTGTTGCTGTCTTGATCATTGGACAAAAATGGCCAGGCTTTAAAGTCACTGGTTTGTCTCACCTTAGATTCAGAATTCATGTGACATTTAGTTGCAGGTGATTTGTGCACAAACTGGTTACCTTAATATAACTGGTTAATTATCCATGTTCAAAATTGTGTTGAAATCAACATGAATAGAGACAAACATTATAGAATTCTTTGGGAATTTTTTTTTTGCTTTCAAAAATGTGCAAGAATTTATAAAAAAAAAATTATTTTGGCAGTTATTTGCAGACATTGGAAATGTTGTAGTGGTATCATTTTGCATTTAGATCAAAAATTGTGATTACAAATGCCAAGATTTGTTGAGTGATCCTTTATTTTATGAAGAAAATTTTCAGTTTTTGCATGAGTTTTCCATGCTTAAAACTGTAAATTATGATTATTTTCTCGTTTAAAACAACACAGTACATCTTCCACAGATGTTGTGATATTATTTAACATTTTCCAGTTAACATAAATTGTAACACAAAACATATTAATATATCATGTTATAGAGATGTATTTATTTAATTTATTTGTGAGAATTTAATACAATTATCTGATACTTAAAATAAAGAAGCAAGTTAAAGAACTTTATGAATTTCTGGAAAAGCAAATACTAACCTATTTTATGTAATATAATTTGTTTGGCAATATTGACCTGAGACTGATTAATTTTTATGGAGATTTTTACCTAAGTTTCCATAATTCATTACAACGTACTGTACTTATTGATATTTAGTGATAGTAAAGTTCCCGATACTGAGTTCATGCATAATTATCGCCCGATGACCAGTAGTGGTTATAACAATCATTAAGTTGCAAGTTCGAATCCTTGATAAACTACTTCAGATTTTTTTCACTATTGTTTTCATTATATGCAGCATTAGTGGATAAATCTGACAAAGGATATTTCCTGGTGTATTTTTATTGAGCATTTTTGGTACACAAGGACGTGTTTATAATGGACGCCATTTTCCGTGCTTGGTGATCAACTCGCTTTATGTTTTTCTGCTTGTCTTCGCCTTTTTCTTTGACTTTTAGTTAAATTGTTTATATCCGACATGACGATATGTAGTTTAGTTCATTTACACTAAGTAATAATCCATTATTTTGATGTTTAATGATATTAAATCCGAAATTTACATCACTGAAAAAATCGTGCTTTACACTTTACATGATCACGTGAATATATCTTATTATGTATAATACCCAAATAAAAAATATTAAGAATAAACTAAACTATTTATAATATACCATGTCATTTATGTTGAATTCTTTGAAATACCTATTGTATGTGTACACAGTGATCTCGTTTTCGGGAAATATGCTCAATAATTATACTCCGTTATGGAATCTCGGAGATTTAAAACTACACCTTCTATAATATAGTTCTCTAAGTTATATTAAATAATCAAGTCTAATAGTAGCATTATATATAGTAGACTTTTCATCTTTCTATAACAATAGTTTTGATAGTGGATTTTTTTTTTAATTGGTGGTTTTGCATTTTGGTATATGTTATAGTTAGCCTAAGGGTGGAGTGGCCAAACACTGATGCTGCCACCTGTGATCCAATGGTGTAGAGTGATGTTACCTTTTGTCAGTTAATCTTATTAGCAGGTGGTCATGAGTTCAAATCCCAGCGATCTTTTTTGGTACATTTGCATCTTTTATTTACAAACTTAATATGCTAGTTAAAGAATGTATCAGAGATGTATTCTATGAGTAGAATTTAAGAGAACTCGATGGAGGACGAGAATAAAAATGTTGCCTGCACATTTGATTGCAGGATGTCAGTGACTCTGAATTTTTTTTTGTATAATGGCCATAAACAGATAACTTTATAATTAACTGACTGATATTGAAAATATGTGATAAACGTACATCAAAATAACATGTTGACTGGTTTATGTTGCCTAAATGATATGCAGCTCTGATTATATGTTATCAGCTATAAACATGAAACAATTTTATTTTGAAACCAGTCCAAGCCATGATTTTTCTGGAATTTTTCATTTTCAACTGTTTATGTTTTCTCATAATTTGGCACATACATATAATGCTTAACTATATTTCATTAATGAAGAATTTACATAAATGCACACTCTATAACACATCTGTAATATATCTGTAAATATGAAAAATTCCAAAAAGTGATTTGTTTTTACTTTTTTTATACAACAATCCAAGTTTAAATTACACGTAATTTGGAAAATTGAAAACAAATCATGATATTAATTAAAGTTTGAAATTGTCTTCGATTAAGAAACATTATGTTTGAGAAGGTGACATTATATGTACAAAATAAACATACAACTTATTTCTATCTATTATGTCTATACTTGAAAAACCATTACTTTACATATTTATGTGAATATGGGTTTATTAAAATTAAGGTTATGATAAATTGAAAATATTTATATTTTTCTGGTAATATAATACTTTATATATGAATGTATATATAATTTATGTCATTATTAATGTGAATGTGGGTGAATAAAATCACTAATTAAACATGTAATTTGTAGTTAATTTGTCAGATATTTTTCAGTATGATATAATGTACTGAGAACAAGGTAAAATGTGGTTATAATTTTCGTATTGAATAATTGACTGTTACTATTGGAATGGTAAATTGTGAATATGAGTATGTCGGTTAAACTTTTTCTTATACATTTCTTGTTCTTGTTCATAATTAAGAAGAATTATGGTAACAGTAACCAGTCACCTTGTGCCTTCTGTATAATTAAAATCAGTTTGTTATTTCTTTGTGTCGAGAGTCACTTAGGTATGTGTTACTTCATAAGCATTACACTAAATTGTTTTTAAAAGATAACAGTCATAAAACTATTTCTAAGAAAAAATGTTATGTGCTAAATGCAACATTTTAAAAAATCAATTTTTAAGCTCAACAATACAAAATATATGGAGAGCTGTCCTTAACTGATATACTGGTTTGTGCATTTGTAATTTGTTTCTATATTCTATACTTTCTTTATTTCTGTAGGGATTAATTACTTCAAACTTCAAATATATGTTTATTATCATCATCAAACTTTGCTCACGCTTCTAAGTCGTCTACCCCATTGTCAGTGGCATTATTAAAGGGTTGCCTTTATTTGGGTTGAGGCATCAGCTAGAATTGCAGCCTCAGTGTTTATCATTGCATGGTCATAAGAGACAATTAAATGGGTTCAAATTGCTGGTATTTATGTAACTCTTAGCTCCAACACTGGTGAAGTTGTTTTGACCCTTGGTGTTGCTTAAAATTTGTAACACCTGAAGTTAGCCAAAAGTATCTTTCCTGTTTTGCGGCCCTTAATAATGACCCCTGTGACCTAAATTGTGTTGGTCTGCCGTAAACCCAAACAAACGAAAAAATCTCAGTTGTCTTCAGTAATGTTACTTATTTGCTATCCATTTTATATGCTTCTGAGTATATCCTTTTCACAACCATATAAGGAGCCTAGACATAAGCCTATACAACAATGAGTTACAAACTTTCAGTCACTGTCTTAGCATATTGTTCAGATTATATCTATTAAGCCAATAATTTTATTATACAAGTACTAGTATGTGTAAAGTAAAGAATCATATGTCTCTTTGTTTGTTGAAAAATTTTGAACCAAAAAATGTTTTCGGTCAATGTATATGAGAAAATGCATTAACAATTGACAATGTGTCTACAATGTTACCATAATTATGGCATATAATACCTAACTTTTCTCTAGAGTATATCTGGTTCAGTTTAAACATATAATGAGCAATTTTCTATAAATTTTTTATGGTGAGCTCATATATGTGCAAGCATAATACTATAGTGTGACCGTGAGCCCCTTTGATAATCAAAGTGCTGAATGCACTGAATGCGACGGACATGCAAGGCTTTTTCAGAAAAAAAAAAAAAAAAACACAAAAGATATAACAGAGACAATTTGTTACATACATGTACAAGTTCGAGATTTGTAGAGCAATCTATTTTATACCCCGGTCACATATTCACGGAAGACGCTCACGGAAGAGCCACGGATCAATTCCGGCATTGTCCGTAGCTAGCCGTACTGGTCTGTAGCTCTCCGTATTGTAACCGTAATCAATCGTAGTCGTCCTTGTATATCCGTAGCGATCCTTGACAATTTTTGAACATGCACAAAAATTTGCTACGGAAAAATCAACCGTAGCGCATCCCTACCAGTCCGTATTAAACCGTACTGATACGTACTGGCCCGTACGGAAACCGTACTGATCTGTACAGATTCGTAGGCCTCAACCTGCTAAGGATTTCCATGGTTTGGTACGGAGAACTACGTATTTGTACGGTTACCCTACGTATAAGCTACGGTTTTAATACGGATTAATACGGCATTGTCACGGAAAGCTACGATCGTAATACGTTGTACTACGGAGAGGCAGGGATTAGCACGGTCTTATACGGTTTATTGCGTTGCAACACGAAACGGTACGGAATGGTACGGTCCACCACTGTTTAGTACGGATAAATACGGATTTATATAACAAACGTGGGATAAGTTAATAGAATCATGTGC